AACACATGAGAAGTGACCATTTACTCATAAAATAGACTCTTAACCAAGATGCCTAAATCATACCTACTTAACCAAGCAAGTATCAAAGCAAAAAACACACATGCTATTAGGTGAACACCTAAGCATAAAGCGTGAGCTAGCAAAACGAGAATCTAAGGCAGATTTTGGCGTGGGAGTCGAAAGACTCTTCTTTCACTAGAATAGCTCAAGCACAAATCAAGTAAGCTCTCGAAGCATCAACGTTTAAGAAATGTGAGCTAAGTATCATCGAAACTAAGACAAAATATTGGGACCGATTGCAAGCCATCCTTCCACTTTATTGACTCGATAACAAGAGAAGTGCGATTCAAAGCATCAATGTGAAACGCGAGCTAAGAATGACCAAGGGACTTGAAATGTGAGGGGAGATTGCGAGCCCTCCTTCCACTTTACTGACTCGATTGTAAGCATAAAGTAAAAAGACAAAACAAGCTAACAATCGCAGAAATATTGCCTACAAAGTAGAACTTCCAAATTTTCCTACAATAGTAGGACTTCCAGTCATGCATCTCTATTCCTACTTCTCATGGAAAAGAAATAAAAATAATAATAATGCGTGAATAAGATAAATAAGAAAAGGTACCAAACGGAAAAAGGTTTGTTGGATTTTCCTAACAAAGCGAAAGAAACCCGAAGACCTTCACGAAAGCTTCATCAACAAACAGAATAGTCATAAATGGAATGCACAGGATAAGTGTCGAAGCATCGTCAATGTGAAAATAAATCACAAGCAGAAAATGCGTCAAGCATATTCGAATAGAAAATAATAGTCTTGCATAAGATATAAATCCAGACAAACAACGATAATTTACAAGTATCATGAAATGAGAATCCAAGCTCAAACACGTTAGAAACAAATCTGAACCAAAAGGAAATGGGATACATGCTTTAATCGAATAATCAAGAATTAATTAATAGATTAAATGCTCTCTTGAACCGTCTTGGGAAACTTGTACAAGTCAACAAATGAGTTAGTAATAACAAGGTGTGACAACCCAAAGTTAAGCATTCATATCATAATTCAAATCAAGCTTAATTCATGAAGAAACAAGTTACAAATAAGTGTCGGAGCAACAAAAATAATTGCCGTACAACATCTTTTTGGTTCATAAAAATGCTCAAAAATTTAATTTAACATCATAAAAACTCAACACCGACATCAAGCAATCATCAAATTAAAACCAATCATGAATCAAGCAAGAATTAAATCACAATTTGCATGCATTTATGAGTACCAGACACCCACTTTTTGACTCATGAAAATCTTCCAAAAGTTACTTTAAAACCATCAAAACTCAACACCGACATTAAATAATTATCGAGTTAAGTCCAATAACGAAGCAAGCAAGAGTTAAATCACAATTTGAAAGCATTTGTGAATACTGGGCAACAACATTTCATGTGTCGATAATCACCAAAAATCAATTGGAAATCAACATTTGAACGTGCAAAATCAAATACCGACACTTGAAACTTCACTTGGAATTCACAAATAAATTGCAACAATTAAATCCACACCGGTACAATGATTTCCGAGCATCAAAACAAAAATTATTCAAGTGTCAACAACAAATAATTATCTCGAAATCAACCATCGACACGTGAATTTCAACAATTATCAACAAGTATCAACTTGGAATCAAACGCCGATGTGTAAACTTCAATAATTATCAACAAATATCAATTTCGATGAGTGAATCTCAACAATTAACTTAAGTAATCAACTGATTCCAACAATTATCCACAACATTAACATGAAGATTTATCAAGAATCATATAATTTCCACAATTTGAGAATTAATTCATGTTAATCAACATATTCTCAATTAATTCACCAATCAAAATAAACACAACCATTAACTCAATTAAGAATCAAGAAGTTACCGTAAGAGAAGATCGGAGAGAGCGCGGAGGCAGAGGAGAGAGGTCTGCGCGTCTTTGTGACAACGAGCGGAGGAAGTGCAGCAGTGGTGCGTCATGCACGGTCATGACGATCGGAAGTCAACGCATTGGAGCTTCGGCGTGTCACAGCTTTTTCTCTTGAGAGCTTGCTTGACAATTTGAGAGTGATTTTGTAAAAGTGGTGGAATCCCTTTTGAAATTGAGAGAAAAACAATATATCTATATAGAAGCTTAAATCATTTTTGGCATTTGGAATAGAAAAACCGGTTTTTGGAGTCACATTTCCCTCTTTTTTCATGTCAAAATTGGGTTGCGCATCTTTTTCATTATATTTTCATGTTCAATTTGAGAAGCCAGCCACAAACCTAAACTTTATGAGCATAATTTAAACCCGAATCTTGAAGAAAAATTGTAGATGCCGAAATTTGTGACATTGTGTCGCGAGAATTATCCTGAAATGTTGAAAATTGAGAAAGTTATGATTTTTGCAATATTTGAGAAATCCTTGACTGGAAATCCGCTTCACCATATAATTCTCAAAGTATTTGCAATTTTGGAGATCTTTCATACAAAATTGGCTCCCGATTCAAACATATGAATAGGAAAGTACGTCAAAGAGATTACTATACCCAAAGATCCACTAAAAAATTATGAACCACATAAAAGTTATGAATTTCTGAACCTGAACTGTGAAATGCTGATTTTCAGCCCAAATTGTTTCAAATCAACTGAAACACTTGATTTTCTTTGCAATTCAAGGCATGATGAAACTCATGGGAACTTGGGATGATAAGGACTTTATTAATCACTTATTAAATAGTCTGGGGAAGCATGTTGGGTACATTTCAATTCTGAAACCCTAAGTTCATGTTTCACTACATTAATTGACGAAACAACCGTCTTCCGTAGCTTGACGGAGCTTAAGAGAAGTGACTTGATCCTATGACCATATAACTGATTATATGTATATATGTATATGATAATTAAGTGTAAGTCAAATATGGTTGAAATGAAGGGGGTAAATTTTTGGGTATAACAACTTCCCCTATTCAATTATCTTAAACTTGAAAGCGAGATTGGCGTTAGCCTTTCGAGCAATGAGGTAGAAAGGGATTGAATACAAATATGAACTTAAAAATGTACGCTCTCAATTAGGACAAGGTGTATCAACACTGGTGATTGTATTCTGGTATTTCTGTTGTATCAAACCAACCGAGCTGGATTCACAATCTCTGGATTAAAGACGAGGAGGAATAGTGACCACTAGACCTTACCAGAGAGTGCCAGTGAACACTAAACTTTGAAAAATGAGGCTAATGAACATTGAACTCGACCCAAGAATACTAGTAACCACTAGAATTGAAATATACCAATGACCATTGGATCTAAAGGGTATACCTGTGACCATTGGTTGTGATCAAAACAGAACACTGACCATTGAACCTAACCAGATACATTATTGACTCCAAATTTAAAGGGGTACGTCTATGAATAATGGAAACAAACAAAGAGAACTAGTGACCACTAGTCTCCAATTAGAACCATCAGAATGGGGGCGCCATTTTGAAGACCTAAAAAACGAGTAGCGAACTTGACCCTAGAGACCTAGTGAACACTAGAATCCAAAGACACCAATGACCATTGGATCTAAAAGGGTATACCAGTGAGCACTGATCTCGATCAAAAATGGAACATGACCACTTAACCAAACCATTAGAATATTGGCGAAACACTGGGGATCGAGTAAAGGTAACGAGTGACCACTCAACCTTAAGAGTACTACATAGAATGTTCCAGGAAAGAACTGAATCACAAATGAAGAAATGAGTGAACACTCGACTTAAAAGGGAGTAGTGACCACTAGACCTAAAAGTACTCAAAAGGATACCAATGACCATTGGATCCAAAACAAGGAAAACACTTGCTATTCTCATCCAGGGAGAACCAGTGACCACTGAATCTAGCCAAGGGATAAAAGAGACAAAGAGACAAGTGACAACTTGACTCAAGAGAACTAGTGACCACTAAAATCTAAAGAATACCAGAACAAAATTGTATTTGAAATTGGGTAACAAGTATCACACTCACTACAAGAAAAATGATAGATTGGGACGGTTATTTTGACTGATTACGACGGTTAAAACCGTCGCAATTTACAATCTACGACGGTAGAAGTACCGTCGCAGAATCGTGCGTCCCCAGCCTATTTCGCGACGGTTGCAAAAACTGTCACGCACAACAGATAGCGACGGTTATATACCGTCGTGAATTTGACTTTATTTTTTGTTTTTGTTGTTGTTTGCGACGGTTATTCTACCGCCGTAGGTTAGAAATTGCGGCGGTTTTAACCGTCGTAATCTGATTTATAAATTTCAAATAATATTTTTATTTAAATTATTATTTAGTAAAATAATTTTAAATATAATATTATTTTACTATAATATTTTACTATAATATTTTACTATTATATTTAAATTATTATTTACTTTAATATTTTTTTATTTATAGTATTTTTATTTTATTTTCTATCACTTTTCAACATAATAAAGTTAATTACAATAAAAACATTTAATATCAAATAATCATCAATAATATCAAAAAAATGTGATCAAAGGTAAAAAGAAGTGCAAATTTTACCAATAAACAAGAAAAATTCAAATATCATCAAACTCCAATTGTATGAAAAGTTATAAGGTACAGAAAAATCAACTACAACAAAATCTCCAATAAAATAAAATTCACTTTCCGCTAAGGAGAAACCTAATCAAATTTGGATATGTATCAAGGCGTCTCAAGTTCTTTAGATATGTATGATACATAAATTGAGGACATTCTTCATATAGAAGCACGTCGACACACTTTTTCAATTCCTGATAAATATAGACGATAGAAATGTCTTCATTAGTGCTTGTAAATTCCTGGATTTTAGGAATCAGATTTAAACCTAGACCTTTCTCGACTAAGCTCATTGTGAGAGCTTCAAAAACTTGGTTGATGTCTACTTGCACCATCAGTCTTCTCTATGCCCTTGTGCGAGCTAAATCAATGCCTTCCATTACTCACCAAAGCTCAGCTACAACACTACTACATTTTCCATCACAGTAATCACACAAATTATCTGGAAGATTCAAGTGGTTTAGATATTGGTTGGTTTTGATTCCATTATGATATATCATCCACACAAAAACCCTTATTCTTTTAGTAACACTCAGATTCCAAATGCCTTTCCAATGATCCTCTATATCCTTGTTCTTGGTGGAGGTATTACAAGCATTATATCCAAAAACTTCCGACTGAACATGTTCCTTAAATGGCTTCAATTCCAATTTCCATCATCATTAATTAAGTCTGCAATTATTGTTTGCCTGCATGAGAATGTGATCATTTAAATGGAAACAACAGTTTGCCTTTGATTGCACAGTTTATATTGTGCTTCAAACTTTATTCAGAAAACCACATCAAAAAGGAAATTAGTGAATAACATCAGTTAACATACCCCGATTTCTGTCACAAACCGGCATGATGAACACCTGACCTGTGAAGCGCCATATGGATACATTAGCAATAGCGTACAACTCCCACACTTAACTTGCCCGACCTGATCAGCTGCAGGGAAGAAATGACCTATGATATAAATAGATTGCCACACAAAACGATAATGCATGCCGTATCATGTTTTTTACACAAGATTATTTGCAGCAGCAAGCACGCAACTACCAATAGCAGGACTGTTCTTCCCATCATGAAATTGTTTATGAAAGTATTTAATCAACCAGGTGCATAAAAGCTGAACTTAAAGTGCAAAGTTTCACAGAAAATACACGTTCAAGATAAAAAGAAGCAAAGAGAAAGTAAACTTGCCTTCAAACACAATGTTGACCGTTTGACAGCATGAACATTTGACATGTTTGGCACCTGATGGATACGAAAGCAGACGTCTACAAGAACCACAAACCATTTGAGCAAAACCTGTTAACACATATTTTCTAGTCAAACTCAACAAATTAATACCCAATTCCGTCCCTTGTCAATTGCAGATTTGTTAAAATTCCTCTTTGCAATAGTGCTATAGCACTACTATAACCGCCACATGACAACATTTTGTACTAAATACCGTATCTCAAAACAATGGAGGCCGCGATTTGACAACATTCGTTAAAATTTACTTGTCCAATCATTGAAGAACAAAGACTAGAAATAAAACAATGATCGTGCAGTAGGTGATTAATAACAGTGCATAATTTAGAAAAATACAAATTATATAGTAAAATCCATTAGGGTATCTTTGAATATTGAAAGAGAGTGAAGGGAATAGAAAAACAACAAATTCCAAGCAAAACAAGCATAGCAAAAGTGATTTTACCTTACAGACAACAAACATAAAAGTAGCACCGCAACAGAGCCTACAAAACGCAGATATGGTTAAACAAGCATTTGCAGACATCCAACACAAGTTGTCTATCCCGAACATCTCCTCCTCAATTACTCTTGCTACAAACACAATATCTAAAAAATGAAAAAAATAATAAATAAAGACATAATGCAGAGAAGAACTATCAAAATGACCTGAAAAGCAAACAACTTACGAGCACAAGAACGCACTATAGAGTTTATGTAATCTGATTTTCTAGAAAAAAACCTTTCCAGAAACTTCACTATAAGACATATTTGGCTGGCTGCAAATGGAACTTATATCAGTCTGCAAACAATGAACACACGACAACACAGATGAAACAATCACATTTCCACGCATAATGAATTGCATAAATATTGTACCGCATTATCACTTGCGTAGTTGGGATGCATTTGTGAGTCTGTAGCAAATATCATTTCTGTTTGGATTTCTAGCTGTTTCAAAAAGACCAATGATACACTATTAAATAAAAAGCTTAACAATGCAAAGTTTCCTTTGTATTCTCCTTTTGTTTTCAACATTTTATTTTTACTTATGCAGATACACGAGATACACTTAAGTTGTACAAGAAAGGTGAACTTAAAACTCTGCTATCTGAGGCTATCTAAAACTTTGCTATCTGTACATTTAGAGGACTTAATTTATATTTCTCTCTATTCTTGAAAATTCACAGGCCGTAATTGATGCCAATATAATTCCTCCTTTGGTTGTCTTGCTTCAAAATGTTGAGTTTGATATCAAGAAAGAAGTTGCATGGGCCTTCTCTAATGCTATATCGGGTGGATCTCATTAACAACTCAAGTATGGGGAGATCCTTATTTTTGCAATCCTTAATAATTTTATTAGTTTTCCGACATTTTTGTTTCAAGATATCACAAGTTATTTTTCCGTTGTTGACAGTATCTTGATAAATCAGGGGTGTATTAACCCTCTATGTGATATTCTCATATGTCCTGATCCTAAGATTGTGATAGTTTGTTTTGAAGGGCTTGAAAACATCTTAAAGGTAGCAACACTGATGGTGTGAACCTGTTTAGCCCAAATGACTGATGATGTTGAGGGTTTGGAGAAAATAGAGACTGTTTGCCCAAAGGACAGCGAAATTTATGATTAAGAAAATCGGCATTGTGACTATTTGAACCATTAGGTGAAAAAACAGTTAAAAAATTCATTAGACAATAGCATATACCACGGTGTATCTTCTCATTTTTGGCCTCACCTGTTATATAAGAGAATACAGATTTGAATTGTAATGTAATACTTGCTCACCAGAGTTATGAATTTTAGCTAAGTAAATATTATCAAGGCTTGAAGTTTCAATTATAGTGAAATGATTTTGTAAACTTTTGATGATATGATGTCTTTCACCCATATGTATATGAATCATCAAAATTAATGAATATGATTGATTTAGAAAGTTTTGAATTGATGCTTGTGCAAGTGTAGCACATGCATGATACTAACAGTATGGAATTATAAAAGGAAATGAACTTCCATAAAGAGAAATAAGCTATTAAGAAGGAACAATAAAATCCAAATTAACTTGAAACATGAAACATCCATGCTTGTATTTTTCTAAACATTCAACAAAAAAGTATTTTCCAATCCAAACCAATCACAATTTTTTAACTTTAAGCTTGCACTTTTCTAACATATCATTTTAAAATATACTTTTATCAGTATAGCTCAAAATATTATAAATATACCAAACAAATTTACCGGTGAAGGAGCACGGGTATTTTACTAGTTTCCATATCTTCTCTATATGCCAATCTCAGTCTCAGTTCTTCAGGAATTTCTGTAGTGTCCTCTTGCCCTGTTTCAAATGTTCCTTTTTGCTGCAAATCCATAAGTTTCATTAGATGGTGTAAAAATGCATTAAACATATCATAAGAAATTGCTGAGTCAGAAAGAAGCTGAGAAATCACAAACCCTTTTTAATGCCTCAAGCAACTCGTCACGCCCAATATAATCCAAATCCTTCCTGGCCGTTAAAATTCCAGCTTTGTTCCTATCATTTATTCGTGATCTGTCAGTCTATATTCTGATGATGGATTGATGCAGAAACTTTTATCAAAGATTATTTACAGTATATTCTGCAGCTCTGCCCCAGTAAAATCTTCTGTTAGCTCTACAATTTCGTTAAGCAGAGTATCTTTTTCTTCTTCTAAGCGAAAATACTTATTCATAGCATGCACCTAGTTTGCAGTATGCACCAAAAAGAATAGGAAAAAAGAAATTTAAAATATTGAAATACTATAGACTGATCCCAGTAAATCAAGGTTTTGGAGGTAAAATACCTTCAAAATGGCAAGTCTTCCATCTCTTAAAGGCAAACCAACTCTAATGATCTTGTCGAAACGACCCTTCCACAAAAGAGCAGGATCAATAATATCCAATCTATTTGTAGCACCTATCACAAGCACCTGAAATTCAAATTCAGTATATCAAATAACATCTTTGTGATCTTGGAATTTAATTAAAGCTTACCTGTGCTGTGGAAACTTTGAATCCGTCCATCTCAGTCAGTATCTGAAGTAATCCTTGTTCCCTTTCAGCACCTCCCTATGTAATTTATGGACAATGAGAGTTTAATTGGACAGAAAAAAGTGACCACCAACAACACCATTATTTTATAGGACACCTCACTTGTCAATGTTGATTATTGTCAGTTAGAGATAAAACACTGACATCAGTTCTAGAACAATTGAGATTTCAAAATTAATAAGGTAGTTTAGTTCTATAATGTGAATGAGGAAGTGGTTAACTTTATCTTCAGGACCTTTGACAATAATGGAATAAAGTTTAATAACTTGGGTGAAAGCAATATAAAGCAAAAACTGTTCATATGCATCAATTTCTAGATGAAAACCTTTATCTTCTCTATAACCCTAATTTTCATCAAGCAAAGTTACATTAAGATAAAATCATAGCTAACACAATAAGGGTTTTTGCTTCTGAATTGAATCATAGAAAAAAGAAACATAACCTGTTTGATAGCACTGGAAACAGAGAGAGTGGTGCTTTGATTGAGGCATTCAACACCAATCCAATCTATGAAGCCTAAGAGATCAACCTAATCAAGAGTATATGAACTAGGTTAGAACTTGTGTACCCTAAATCAAATAAGATAAACTTGACGATGATCATAATAGTGAATGATAGAGTTTGAATCTTACTTGACCCTTGTGAATAGCGGTGGCGGATTCTCCAGACATTGCTGCTGATTTATGCGACACGGAATACCTTCTTTGTGCGACTTCAAAGAGAGATCTTCCCCTTTGCTTAGCAATCGAAGGAGGCCAGTACGAAGATCTCTAGAGGACATTTGATGCTTTCAATTGGATATCTCAGATCTGACACGTAGTCGTCTTTATGTACAAAGGAGTTTGTGATTCTGAAAAGAAAAGGAAATTGCGGTAGAATTTGAGAATCTTAGCGCGTGAATTGAAAGAACGTTACGAAAGGTTGAGAACGATCATAAATCTGAGCGGGGTCGGTTCTTAAACCGTCGTGGGATATGATACGTTCCAGCCAAAGGGACGGTGAAAGGAACCGTCGTGGGATATGCTATAATTCTATTTTTTATTGAATATATATTGACATTACTATTATATTATTTAAATACTACTAATATTAATATAGTTACTATTATATTATATAACTACTATTAATATAATTAATAGTTAGTAAGTAATATTATAATATTAATATTATAATTAATTAATTACTATTATTATATTTAATTAATAAAAGTGAAAAGATGGAAAAATAAAACAAATGGAAAAAAGTGAGAAAATAAAATAATAACAAAATAATAATTATGATTGGTCAAAGTAGTCGCGACAATCTGTTATACTGGTCGCGAGTGTGGAAAGAGGGCAGTTCTTTGGCAACTGTCTCAATTATGTTACTCAATATGCTTAAAAATCTACGACGGTTGGCTCTAACTGTCGTGACAACTATCGCAGTCCAAGAATAAGGACGGATTTATGGGAACCGTCGCAACTCATGTGTCGTAAAACTCATTTTTTCTTGTAGTGACTTGACCTTAAAAGGAATTGGTGACCACCAAACCTAAAAATGTTGCGCCAGGGAGGAACTGGCTCACTAACAAGGCAATGAGTGAACACCCGACCAAAGAAGACCAGTGGACACTAGCTTGTAGACATAGGGATGCCAGTGAATACTAAACATGAGAGAACTTTAAAGAGGTGATATCATAGGATAAGTAGTCTCTAGAGAGACCTACTGGGAGTATTATGGGATATCTGCGTGGATTAACGAATCACCGGGTATATCAAGAAACTGAGCGACCTTATTGGGGAAGAAGGAAATAAAATTGGCTTATGCTTCGATGCATGTTTGAATTTTTCTATGGAGAAATGTTCCAAAATGAATGGAAACACCACACATTTTAGTAGATGCAATATAATGATGCATAATTTTTCTGGGGAAATAAAGAGATACAAGGAACTGCTGACGAGAAGCCCTTAAAAATCTGAAATTCTGTGAGGAATAACAAGTTGAATAGCCGGTAACCACATGCTGAACTCTGAGGGGAATGGAAAAACTAAATTATAAACTTTGTTGGATAAAATCAAGACACACTACAAATTATGAGCGAGGACGCCAATGAAGATTGGATGCTGCCGAGGGATACCAATAACCATTGGATCTGAGGGGAATAACTTATCAACCTCTATGTTGAGGATGAGGTGATTTCTTGAACAAAAAATGCATCCATACACTTCTGTCTGGTATATGAGTATCCTTGAACAAGAATGCCTCAACAAATAGACCATTATGGGGATATGAGAAATCTTGACAAAGAAATCCCAATAAAAGCTTGGGGAACAAGAGAAATTTTATCATAACTGAGTCGGGGAATGAGAAAGATCTCTCAGTTGGGGAGAAAAATCTGCTTCATGAATGACCATTCACCAATAAGTTCACCTTTATGAACATTCACTGGGGGATAGTGAATTTTTATCAAGAAATCATTATCAATCTGACTTTATCAGACAAGAATTCTCTGTATGGCGATCCACCGGGTAAAGGAAACTTCAAGCTTTACTGAGGATGATGAGATCTATTTGAATAAAAAGAGTCTATGATAAACTCTACTGGTGAGCGAATCTTTACTTGGGGAGGAAGGAGTTCTTGAAGAAGAAAACCCTTGAAGTTCAACTTCCACTGGGGAATGATGCAACATCTTTTATCATTAAGGAGTAAGAGAATTCTTAAAAGAACTCTCACCGGTATAAACCACACTTGTGAAGCAAACATAATAAGGTATTCACAAAGAGTGCAACCTTGCCAAGAAGAAAAACCAAACTCCTGAAAGAGATATTAGACAGGCAAATCAGATGCATAGACTTCACTGGGGAAAAATTGGTTTATGCACCCTCCATTGGGGAAACGCATACTACTTTACAGGGATAAATCAAGAAACTTCTTGTCGACAAGTAAAAGAATTCTTACAAAAACCTTTGAAAGATGCAGACCACGTTGTGGAGGTATATTGTTGTACCGAATCCACCAACATGTATTTCACTAGGGAATTTGAGAATTCTTAAGAGAACTCTTGAAAAGTGTAGGCTATACTGGGGAATCATCCTTTGGAAAGCTTTCAACAAAATACACTTTTATTGGGGAATTCTTCTTGAAAAGCATCATAGTGAAGACAAACTCAAGTTCAGATTCCCCTGGGGAGATACATGCTCATTCCTACTTTGCTGGGGAAGAGTGTGTTGCTTCGAGGAAATGAACCAAGAATCTTCTGCTGGTAATAACCTTGAGGGTTATTGCTCTGGTATTGGTACAAAACCTTTCACAAGTGAACGATAGTTCATAACACGTTCCCCTAGGTATAAGATTTATGAAGGGATTTTCCTCACAAGGGTCCTTTTTACCATAATGACTGGATATGACTTGCCCCAGTATCTTCTAGTTCTAAAATGATTCTCCTCTGATCAAAGGATTCTTGGAGGGATTTGTCGAAATCTCGACATAAGTGCCCCAAATTAACTGAACTTTAATGAGATTTCTCGGCGTAACTGCCCCAGATTAACCAAACTTTAAAGGATTGAATTTCGCCTTGGTTTCCCCGGATTGGATGAAAATTTAAACTCTACTCTTCTTAAGGGTGAACAAAGTTGGGGAAATAGCCTTTATGATTATCTGAAAGTGGCATGCCCCTGCTCCACAAAGTCTTTGGGATAATTTTCCTTAACTTTCTTTAGATCTTCAGAGAGATTGATTGAATCTTGACATAACTGCCCCAGATTGGTCGCCCTCGGCGTATTCTTCGCGCAACAGATACTTCAAACTTTACCCTTTCTAAGGTGATCACACCGTGAAAGTAACTTACTTATACTCAACATAATCTTTAGGAAACATGCCCCTGGCTATGACCATTCTCTCGAAATGATTGGATTTTACTCCACGGAGTTCAAGTCCTTTTACTTTGACGTGATCATGCTCTTCACTTATTCCCATCATGAAAACTTAATTAGTGTTAGACAACTATTTTCAAACAGAATTAAGTTTGTTCTAGAATGATAATTATAATGCAAAGCCTATGTTTGTCTTGAAGTTGAAAAAAACTTTGAAAGAAATGATGTCACAAGCTAGAGAGCAACATTTGAAAATATTTTTTTTCATGAAAGATAATGCAATCATATGATACCAACATAGATATTTAACACATTTTCTAGGAGTCAGCTAACGTTATCTCGTCGTAGAATGCCCTCAAAATAAACCATGTTTCAATTAGGACTTTTGAAGGTTGTAACATGGCCCGGTTCACGGTTTTTAGAAAAATAGATTTAAGGCTCGAAGTCTAACCTAACCCACCCATTCTCTGTGATATTCTCCATTCTTACGTTTAATAAACTCGATATAAGCATTCATCTCTCAACAGGAATTCAAGATAGTTAAGGAATCAACGAGGTTTTCTGAACACAACAGTCACTCACCTTTCGTTTTTTGGTGTCTAATCACACGACTTTGATCTTTGCTGAGGATTTTCATTTAGTATTCCTCTTATTTTTGTCTCTTAAGCTTTTTCTTTTTCATTGTTTTCCCTAACTTTTTCCTGGACAAATTCTTTTGAATTTTGATTCTTCAGTCCAGCGGAATGTGTCATACCCCAAATTTTCCCTATTGATTTTTAACCAATTTATTCTTTATCGCTATGTTGTCATTTTTCTCTATGAAGTTTAGATTACTTAGGATAAATTCATCGGGGGTTTAAAACCTTAAAGGGGTTTATGGGCTTTCTAAATAAAAAAGGCCCATGTGTAATTGATGATCCACCCGGTGGCTTGAGAGGGGGTGTATTTAGTTTCTAAGCTCACTGTGGGGTATATTCGTTTTTAGGCCCATTAAGGTTTATTTTGATTTATGTTAAGAGTTAGGCCTATTAAGGCTTGTTAAAAGTTTTCTAATTAATGGAAAGGGGGGTGTATTGTCTTAAATGGACCATCAAAATTTGATGGCCCATTAAGACAATTTTGCTGGCCCGGTTCAAATAAAAAAGGGAGGTGTTGATTATAAACTAAAGGGGGGACGTTTCGGGCCATCAAAATTTGATGGCCCATAAAAGGGCTCGTGCGTTTTGATAGAAAGGGGGTATGTTTAGAAATTTGAGGCTGAAGGCCCAATTGAAGGAGGTTGGCCCATTTTTATGGAGGGATTGCTAAAGGGCTTGTTGCTTCATTTTGTGTTAAGCCCATTAATGTTAAGTTTGGGAAGGAATGTTGACTGAGGTCAACATTCGGATTAAGCTTGCATTATTATTATTACTGTCATTAAACATTATTAATAATATTGCTAATAATATTACGTTTTATTTTAATTTATTGATCATTATTGAGACGTGGTTGACTAAAGTCAACACAAGTCACTAAGTAACCCAAGCCCAACAAACATCCACTGTTCAGATCTAAACAAAATAAACGCACTGTTGAAATCAAAATCAAATCTTTCTAAAAAATAGATTTGAATAAAATATTGCAAAAAGGACAAAACTGAATATTACAGATACGTTTGTCCAGATACATTATAATATTACAAACCCTAATCTTATATAGAGGGAGAATCAATTACAGATCCAAATTGAATCCCTAAAACAAATCTTAATCTTCCTAATTCCTAATACAATTACAAATATAATGACAATCATAAACAAACTTCCTAATTTATCTCTAACCTA